TCCTTATCTAAACAAAAACAGAATGACTGTGGACAAACAACAACAACAACAACAACAAAACAGTGGGAGTAGGAGCAATTTCTGACTTCCTGTCATCTTCCCCATTGTCTTTCCTTGGAGGAAGCTGACAAGAGACATTAGAAATGACAATCATATGACTATGGCTGATAATGGCAGTGCAGAAGTGTGAAGCAGCCACAACATTGCCAAATTTTAGTCCCATGGGGATCACGTCCCAGATTTTTGATGTATTCTTTAAGCTAGCCCATTTGAGGTATGTTGATTCCAAAATTGTTGCCCTATGATGCAAATTTTACCCAATTAAAGGTTACAAACAAATAAATATGAGAGTTTAGTACTATGTAGATTTAGGGATCATTTGTAACTTTTGGTAATACATGTAGTCTGGGGCTGCATTGTTTTTATTTAATCTAGTTTTTATTTAATCTTATTTAATCTTTCCCTTACAATTCTTTTTTAAATTTTGTTTTTGCTACTGTCCCTAATAGTAACAAAATGTCCATTATTTTCTCTGTTTCCCCATCTAAAAGGCATTTTGAAGGAGTAATTAATTATATGATGCAATCCACACCTAACATCTGGTTGAGACAATTAATCCATTTGAAGCTCATACCTTAAAAGAAAAACAAGATAATACCTGTACCTGGTGGAGAGCTTGCAAGTGTTCATAACTGACCAGGAAGGAAGTTATAATTTTATAACTTTATAAAAATTCTAATCAATTCTAAGACATGATAACTCTTCGCCATTCGTCAGGTTGAATTCATGCAAAATGAAAAGGAAGAAATGTCAGCTCCTGTTTATTCCTGCCTCATGTGCCATGTTTATCAAAGGTATCTCACTTTAAAGTCAAGTAATTCTGTATTACTTCTTTTAAACCAGATTAAGGTTATACTTCCATTTGCTTGAAGACTTGCTTTTTTTCCCCATCCACAACAACTTTCCTAAGAAATAGGTTGGAGTGAAAGAGACAGACTGGTCCAAAGTCACAAATCATCTTTTGGGCTTCCACAGTTGAGGGCAGATGATGCTGTACACTAGATCTATGGTTGATTCAACATCTGGGATAAAAAGATCTATGATGGCATCTACTTTGAATATTACTAATGCGCTGAGATAAATCCTCAATAAAATGCAAGACACCAGCATTTTCACACATATTTTATTACCTCACATTATTTCCTCAATACACTAGTTAGTTAGAAGAGTTAGAATAACTTGATTGTCGCTTTAAAGGTATACTAATCAGCATACATTAAAATGAATTTTTGTTGCATGCAGTTCTCAAAGGGTCTCCACCTCCAATATACACTTAAACATGACAATAAATACATACAAAATTATGCATACACCCACATACCCACATAGATGATACAGAGAAACAACACAGTCTAGTTTGGATGTATATATGTACATGGTGAGAAAAATGAATATTGTGAGTTTATCAGATGGATGGCATAGAGAACAAAGCTCTTCGAGAAGAGATAACCTTGGTGGATGGCCTATTAATGTTACCAGTATATGTATGGATTAACATGAAGCTTTCATGGTCTGCTTTGCCACGTCCTTTCCAGAACTCTGGCTTTTTCTTTACATGAGGATTTTTACAAGTAATTGTAGCAGGATGTCTGTCATAAACACTGTTCACAGGACTTCTATATCCTGTCCTGGGATTTCTACATTCACAGCCTCTCACCCTGCATTCTGGAATGGCTGGGTATAACTGTTCCTCCAAGAATTGCCTGGGGCAGATACTTAAGCTGCCACCATCTGATTTAAATGGGGGAGATCCCTTGGGAATTTCACCAGGAATTGGGATGAGGCAGAAGAGGCAATCCTATTCTGAAAACTCTGTTTTTAAATAAATGGCTATAGTTTCCCCTTTTAACATGTTACTGGACCAACCAACGTAGAGTATGTGGAATTTATGCAAACTCAACCCTGCAGCAGTAAAAAAAATAAAGGATGTTTGTTTTAATAAATGGCACAAAATAAGTGCTTGAGTGATTATAGCTGCATCAAATTATGAGAGGTCTAGGTATACATAAAAAGCTACCCTGTTTTCCCCAAAATAAGACATTCCCTGATAATAAGCCCAATCGGGCTTTTGAACGCATGGCAATAAGGCCAAGTACTTATTTCAGAGTTCAAAAAAAATATAAGACAGGGTCTTATTTTCGGGAAAACATGGTAGCAATGATTAAAAAGACACAGAGAGGTGGGAAATTAGTGTTATGCAATGACCCAGATTTATGGGAAATTAATGCTGTGCAAAGATCCAGATTTAAAGATCAAAATTTGATTTGGAGCATGCATGCGCATATAGGTAGGACTTATTGGAAACTCCTTACACTGAACATTTCTGCCCAGAATCACGTGACACGTGAGAAAGACAGCCAGACATGGCCAAGAAAAGATAGAGTTGTTTTAAAGCATTCTGATCCAGGTATCCCTGTATGGCCCACAATGCATTTTGGCTTTCAAATCTAGATTTCTGAAGAGCTTTACAGGAAATGAGAGTAAGGGTAAAACTTTGCCTCTGAGCAAAAGCATAACTGAAAAGAAATAAGATGCTTCTGATGCTTCTACCTATACAAGTCCTCAGCTTAACTACCATAATTGAGCCTAGAGGTATGGTCTAAGGCAGGGATCTCCAACCTTGGCAACTTTAAGCCTGGCGGACATCAACTCCCAGAATTCCCCAGCTAGCTGGCTGGGGAATTCTGGGAGTTGACGTCCGCCAGGCTTAAAGTTGCCAAGGTTGGAGACCCCTAGTCTAGGGTCATGACAGTTGTTAAATGGGTATCACATGACCATGCATGATTTACAACCTTTTTTTGCAGAGGTCATTAAGCAAACATAGTGGTTGTTAAGGAAATCCATTTTCAGCAATAGGCTTTTTTTTTTCTGGAAACCACAAATAAACATTGGAAACTGACAAAAAATGCTGAAAATTGAGCCAATTGTCAAAGGCCCCAAATGCAACAATGTGACTGCAGAAGGGGAGGGGGGGCATCAGAAATTTGAAAATGGGTCTCAAGTAGCTCTGGAAAGGTCCATCATAACCCCAAACATTTGCTAAGTGACTGCTTGTTAAGTGAGGACTCTCTGTACTTTCCCTCCCTGCTTTACCTTAGAGGTTCCAATTCAGGGATTAGGACAAATGGCCCAAACCCAGATCTAGCCAGAAAATGTGCTTCCACGGTCCTTGCTGCTCCCATGATTTGTAGTCCACTTTGAGGGGGAAATAAACTTTTTACTCTTTCTTTCAACTTGAATAAAATCTGCCTACATGTCACTGGAAAAAGATACAGATTTTATACAAATGTAGACATCTAGTAGCTATAGTTGCCCATCTACACTAATAACATATTAACTTATATGAAAGGACAAGGATGCACAATGTTGCAGGACCAGGACAAAAACTAAAATCAATTAATTAAAATGGAATTAACATATTAATTGCAATTGATATGACTACTTCCCATACATTTAATGTTGTCCACCTTCTGCCACATTCAGTTACAATTTGGTGGCAGCAGATGGGCCATGAAAGTTGTACCCAATATTTTTTTCTGACTAAATTTGTACATTTGTATTTTAGGGGAGAGGCATCCCTAAGAACATTTTTCTTGTATAAGATTTGCATTGCAATTAATGATATATGATTACATTTCTTCATAGAGATTGAGTTTATTTTAGAAAGCATGAAAAGTTTTATGGACATTCAACTTCAAGGGTGTCAAACTCGCAGTGTCACATTGCTATCACATGACATATCGCAACATTTTTCCCCTTTGCGGAACTGGAGTGGGCGTGGCCTTCACGTGATGCATCCAGCCCATAGGCCGCCAGTTTGACACTCCTGTTCTACTTCTTCTTTGAAGAGGGAGGGTTAATGCCGAAGAATTCCCATTTGTTTGGCAGGAGAAGATATACCACCAGAAGTGGCATATCTTTTCCTGTCTTGTATCATCAGAAGTGCTTTGCTAGAAGGTGAAACTAGAACAGGGTGTATTAAGTGACACAATCGGTCAGCAAAATAAAACTCTTAGAAATCTCTAAAATGGGTCTAGAATTAAACTAGATTTGGAGATGGTGGAGTAAATTCCCTTTCACCGGAATCAATAGGAAGGGATGAGAAATACTAAAATAAACAGGAGAAATTCTAAACCCCACAGAGCTTTGGATGCAAAAAGCAAGGTTCACAGATTCATCTGACCTCCATAAACTATAAAGATCTGTTAGATATTGAGGTCCCTAGGTTAAACGTTTTGGGGTTTTGTTTTGTTTTTGCACAGACATATGAGCAGAACTTTCTCAGTCACAGCGTTTCATAAATAAAAGAAATCAATCAGGGATAGCCAAATTCTGTCATTTTAAATTTAGTGAACTACGCAGTCTTTTTTTTTCTTCTTCTCTTCATAATAGTAGCAGTTGTGTCTGTGTGGTCTCTACACCAGTAAATCCCTCTGCCTTCAGGATTTATTTCAAATGTATCTACCAGGTGGTTAAGTATTAGAATTAAAAAGGTAGATTTGCAATCTTCCTCAGTCTGTCCTAAAAGGAACGGGATCATAACCAACATTTTAAAGCAAATTAAGAATAAGATTAGCTTTTATGCTAATCATTTTCCAGACATGCAAACTCAACTATTTGAGACTTGAGATGGAGTGACTTTCGAGACAAAACAAGATCATTTATCATCCTTGGAGGAGAAAAGGGATTTTACAGCCAACTTTAAAAATCAATTCCAAATGAAACGGGTTTCCTTCCAAACAGATTGAAAACTGGCAGGCAGGTCAAGCTCTCTGTAAACCTCTCTACCGAAGCTGGAAGGGCACTAGGACCCGGCACAGGAGCAGCAGGAGGAAAACGAAGAAGACAACAATTAGTTCCATTATAATGACAACTGTAAAAGTTGGCGAGGGCAGTTTTTCACAAGGCCGGCCTTCTTTCACGAAAAGATTTTTAGTGCCTCCTGTTGCCAGCTTGGATGAGTTGCTCAGTTGTTGCAAACGGTCAAGAGATTTGTTCTTGCCAGGGGGGTGGGGGGTGGGGGCAAAAAGCCAACCCACCAACAGTTTAAAATTAAAAAAAAAAAAAATTTGAAACCAAAGCCCAACTCATCATCAGCCTATGCAGGAGCAGGAGGGGTTTCGGAGTGAACTGCATGCAGGAAACATCTCACATCCTGAGTTTCAGGACTCTTTTCGCTCTGCTCCGCAACTGTGCATTCATGGGGCTGGGACCAGCTGATCCAAGTTTGTCTTTCAGCCTGGATTAAGAATGTCAGAGCGCTTCCAGGCAGGACGACAACGCAGCCCTCCTTTCCCTCGACCCCCGACCCAGATACTCTGTCTGCTGCTCAGCCTCTTCGTAACCCCGCCACCCGGGTCCCGAGGTAAGTTGGCAACCCTCATCTAAAACCTACAACCCCCAAAACGCCTCTGAACAACGGCTTCCCCCGCCCCCCCCCCCCCTCAAGTTTGGCCAAGGCGCTATCGACGGAGCCAGCCTGTCCCGAGCGCCCACACGTTGCACAGCGCTTTCTTTTCTTTCTTTTCTTTTTGCCCTGCCAAACAAAGAACCGTCCCTCTCTTCTTTCTTTTTCTTGGCTGATTTCCTAACTTTGACTTTTGATTTCTCACTTTCGGGGAAGGTGGGCAAGTTCGGGGCGGGCAGCAGAGCGCTACTCCCGCCGGGCCGGTTGCCGTGTCTGCTCCGAGTATGGGAGGTGGAGGAAAGACGCGGCTGCCGCCTTTCGACGCTTACCCGGCGCGAAGGACATTCCCGCTGGCTCGCCCTGGCCCTCCCACGCCCCCTCACGCCTTTCTTGGGCGACATTCCCTTCAGCCGCCGGTCCCGTAACTCTTCTTTTGCTGGAGGATGGGTGGTCGAGGTGGGCTTCTTCCTTACTACCTACCCCATCATCTTCCTCCTCCTCCTCCTCCACCACCACCACCACAACCATCCTCAACACAATCCCCAGCCCCCGGGCCAGGATAACAGCCGTAAAGTGGAAATGGGTAATAGCAGGTGAAGGATTACTCCCAAGGGTGAGAATACTATCCAGTTGAATTTCTGCCTGCTGTGGTAAATAGAGATAGTCCTCGATTTACAACAGTTCATTTAGGGACTGTTCAAAGTTACCACAGCATTGAAAAAAGTGACCTAGGACAGGAGTCTCCAACCTTGGCAACTTTAAGCCTGGCGGACTGGGAGTTGAAGTCCGCCAGGCTTAAAGTTGCCAAGGTTGGAGATCCCTGTCCTAGATCACTTTTTTTCACAATAACAGCCTTTGCAGCGTTCCCATGATCCTGTGTTCAAAATTCAGGTGCTTGGCAACTGCTTCATACTTATGACCAGTTGCTGTGACCCAGGGTCATGTGATCCCCTTTTGTGACCTTCTGACAAGCAAAATCAATGGGCAAGCCAGACTCACTTAACAACCGGCTTGCTAATTGATCAACTTGTGATTCACTTAACAACAGAAATTTCGGGCTCAGTTGTGGTCATAAGTCAAAGACTACCTGTAAACGATAAACCATGTCATTCTCTGAGAGACACTGAGGCAGTGACTTAATGGCTTAATAGTTTCATGGAGCATCACAGTACCTGTTTAACATTCAGCTATAGATGTCAGATTAATTATTCACATAATGCATTCTGCCTTGTCTTCTCTTGGCATTGCTATCATTTTCAAGTAGAAGTATACTTTTATCTTTTTTATTTCTCTACATCCTTGTTAAGAATTACACTGCTGAAAAGAATGCCTCTGGGCTTTTTCCATGGGCATGGGATTGTTAGATTATAATCCTCTGCCTGTTTCCATAGACGTAGCTAGAATTTATGTCTGAATATAGTTGAGTGCAGCAAGAATATGGAGAATGTTGACTTGCCTGCATGTTTAAGCTGTTTCCCACTTTTTAAAATGGAATTACACTGATGTAATTGAGAGTAATTAATATTTTACAGAAATTCAGAAATAGCCTATGATGAAATTAAGTAGAGCTAGCCTCCTAAGTGAAATTAAGTAGGATTATACTCTTCAATTTTTTTTCAGAGTAGGACTATATTTAAAATAATTACTTTGGGAACAAACACCTCCCCAGTGTAAAGTATCCTGTTGTCTTAAAGTATACTAAATTAACGAAAGAAGGAGCTTTGTAGCTTAATTTTTATTCTAATACAATAATCAGATCTAACTGTAAACCTGAAATAATGGGCAGTGTGATTATCATCCACACTTTCTTTCCATTGCAAGCCATAGGATGCAATAACAAAATAAATTCAAAAAATGGGAACAGTTTTATTCTGGTATGCCAAAATACTGTACTTGTTGAAAGTTAAATCGTGTGTGCATCTAAGTCTAGATTAATCAATAATTGAACTGGCCTGTCTAAAATGCAAACACATTGGCAAATTGGCATACTCTTTTAATATAAAAAGAATACCAGATACATTTTACTTATAAAACAGAATTATTTTTCAATTCCACAGCTATTTTCTATTTAATTGTTATGATCTGAAGGAATTCTTTGTCCAGGCTTCCTCCACAGATGAATGCCTTTTTTTTTTTTTTTTGCAGTATTTGTGTTTTGTGTTGAATGAGCAGGACAAATAAAAGTTATGTTGTCCGGTCTGAAGTGAAAGAAGCTATCTCATTCCTAATGTTGCAGAATCAGCCAAGCATTTTTTCCTGGAGAACAAACATTCCTTTCTGCTAAGCTTCTTGGATCTAAGTCAGTTTAGGATTTTACATCCATCATAGCAGCTGTCATGCAATTGTTCCAACTCTCTTGTATGACACACGCTAGATTTAATACTCTCTCTGTGGCAAAAGATTATTGGGGTGAAGGTGAAGGATTTAGAATATGTTGCTTGTTCAAGTCATTCCCTTTTTATGGAGAATTAGAATGATGGTGAATTTCTCTTTTGCAAGAGTTCAGGATATATAAAGGTCACTGGCTTTCAGATCCTTAAAAGTTACTCTTATTTTGATTGTCTTGATTCTGGAAGCCCTGACCAAACTGTGTGATGCAGAAATAGTTAGTTGCAAAGTAATAGTGAATTAGTAGGTGCTATTGAACAAAACCAAATTGTTTGTTGTTGGTTTCCTGGGCTAAGTTTTATGAAGGTAGTTGGGAGACATTTAAATATAAGAAGTTAATAAATAAATCAAAACAAATGCAAGTAAATTTTAGTAAAAACTCATTATCTAGTCTGCTATGACAATGGAGAAGCATTTTTTTTCCTTCACGGTAATATCCTTACAAACAAATGTAGACTTTTACAAGAACTTTCAAATACTGTCTTAATCATGATACGGACTTATTAGTAGTCTGTTTAGTAATTACCCTGACTTTGGGATTTGTTCCCAAACTATTCTCCCAGACATTTGTAATACATTAGTTATTAGGAATTTTACATCAGTTACTAGACCCCTATATTAAGAAGTGGTTTTAACACAGTATTTGTTGTTTTTGTAGTTGTATTGTTGGTATGTACTCATTGAGTTCCTAGTCTAGGCTTGATTTCAATGCTTTGCTGTGTTTTCATTTAGAATGATATGAATACCTCTGAGTTTTTAAATCTGATCTGAAACCTGGAACAGATGTACTATTCAGATATATACATGCATTGAAAAAGTAGTATTGGAAGGCGGAACAAGCCACACTAGAAGTAACATAAAGTGAATATTATGAATATTACGAATATTCACTCAGATGGAGTATCATCTGTCATCTCATGAGCATAAAGAAGTTTGGGGTTAACTTGGACATGTTATAAATTGTTAAAAAATATATTATGTCGATATGGGGAGAAAACTGTGGCACAAAACATTGCACAGTACTGTGAGCACTTAATTGCCAACTAAGTCTGTTTTCATTTATCTTAGAGAGGCCAAAATGGACACCACTGATATTATACCGCCCATTGAGGCCCATGTCTGACATCATTCTTCATGCCACAAATAGGGAAGGAACCATTCTCTTTGCTTACTGGTAGATGCGGAAAAACTACAATTTCTATAGGGACAGAGTGAGGGCCAGAAATTCCCATTCTTGTGGTTTTCTTTGGGGAATGTCCAGTACAGCTGAAGCTTTCCTGCTCTTGCATGATGGCCAACTTGACCTCCAACAATGGATCACCCTAAACTCAACATGCCTTTATCTTCCTCCCTGGAGAATGTTCTGGGTGGCCAAATTCAAACTATTCTACCTGATGCTTCAGACTGAGCAATATTAGAACACCTCCAGACATTTTGACCAACTTGATTTTCTCCTTTTGAGGAAAGCATTAAGTAACTAGGGTAGAATTGTGCTAGTATGTAATTTGGGCATACCTTCTTGCAGGGTGGATAAAAATCAATGATTTTTTTTTAAAAATAAAAAAAAATCAGATTTTTTTTATTTAAATCGGATTTTTTTTATTTAAATCAGATTTTTTTATTTTTATCGAATTTATTTTAATAAAAAACTTTTGGGGTAAAAATCTATCGTAAGATAGTTTTCTATTTAAGATACATAAATAATTTAGTTTATTCAGCATGAAATGGAGCTTAGTTATGTAGCATGAGGCTGTATATTCTGCAACACTGGGACTATCGGTGAGTCAACAGTGGGTCAAAGGAGTAGCAGAGATGACAGTTGCTCTTTAAAAATTATGATTTAAATCGAGTTAAATTGTGATTTAAATCAACTCGATTTAAATCAAATCCACCCTGCCTTCTTGTCTGAAATCGTGGCTGTAAAGGTGGTTAGAAACTTATGCTACAAGTGGTTTGAATTCTGCTGCTTCTTCCTTAAGCAGCATTAAAGCCAGTGGTGGGATTCAGCCAGTTCGCACCACTTCAGGAGAACCAGTTGTTAACTTTCTGAGCAGTTTGGCAAACTAGTTATTGGAAGAAATCATTAGGGCAGAGAACCGGTTGTTAAATTACCTGAATCCCACCACTGGTTAAAGCATAAAGCAATGAATTATTATGGTTGGTCACACCGTCAGATTCTGACTGGACTAGATTCTGCATTTTTGTCTACCTGTTGAATCCTTCCAAGGACCTGGGATAGGCAAATGTTGTTGTTTGATGTGTTAAACATATTGTTGCAGGATGTGACTTGTTCCAAGTAAAGCTGCCATTGGCAACTATCTGATTTTGTCAATCTGTGCGGTGTTCAGTCCCAGATATTTTGGGATTGCACCCATGGAATGTATTAATATTGGTGCATTTTAATACTGGTACTACCTTTGCTTTCTTTTGCCACAGTCAATCTAGTTCTATTTGCAGGTTTTGTGATTTTTTCCAGTTCGTTCTTTTCTATTCTGCTGTCTTCATGTACTGCCACCCCTACTGTTCAGACTTCTTTTGTTTTATCAACAGTTGTTAGGTCTGAAGTGTTA